CCACTTCTGCTTACACACTGATGGGAGAATATTGTGCTGTTGCACTGACTGATACAACTTCTTCATGCTGGAGGAGCTGCTGTTATGTAGCTTCATTGCCTCCTCTTATCAGCCACCTGTGTTGCTTTGAGTGTGGCTCGCGACCTCCTATAACCCCAGGGCTCTTCCCACGGCCCTCTTCTGATAATATGCCTCTCCTCCAGGCATATTATCCCTATATATATGCATTCTGCAAGCTACCTCTACTCTCCAAATTCCTCCTTTCTCTCCCCTCTTCCCTATCTCCTATTCCTTACATTCTCAGCAGCCTGTGCGACCCTGCATCACAGTCCGTTTCTCCTTCTAATCCCAACACTGGTAATTTCTCACCAAGCCTCCATCCCCAAATTCTTTTCCTGTAGCTCTATTTCAGTCTTCAGAAGGCAGCTTCATTGATTTTCCCTTTGCCAATAGCTACATCGAAGCTTCTGAAAATTAGCTTCTTTATTTCAATGGACTTCATTATATTTAGTGTAGTGGATCCTATAGGTCTTAGTCCTTTGTATTTTCATCAAGATCTCTCCCAGTTCTGATATTCTCTTACTCTCACTCTCTTACCAGTAGGGACCATCCTTCATGCTTCTATCAGCTTTAAAAATTCCCAAATCCAAACTGGCGTTATTTGTTGAGGCTCATTTTATTAGCAAAAAAATGTTTACCTGTTTTGTACAACAGATATGACAGGAAGCCTGTAATGATGATTTGCAGATCCTCTCTCACTACCCCAAGTTAGAAGAAGTATAGTTCCAAGAAAGGCATTACAGCTGCCTTTGAGAGACTCCACCTGACTCACCAGATGATGGTTCCCAGGGTGCAGGTATTAAAGGGGACAGTTCAATGACCGGCTGTTAATATAGTTTCTGCTCTTAAGAGGAAAAAAGTAGATTACAATCCCAAATTTTTTCCCTGTCAATGTCTAGGAGAATGTCTGAAAACTGCTTGGGAACTGAAACAAGGATTTTCCAGCATTAGAGACTGTGGGAAAGGATTATCCTCAGTGAAGTCGCTTTAAATCCTGTTTCATTTTAAAAGCTCCTACTTCTATTCTTCGTTTTTATTTCTGTTTCAAAGGCCTTTGGTTGTGCTCTCCCTTGGGGTCAAGCACATATCCCCTGAGAAATCTGGGGGTGGAAAGACAAGAAAATTTCAGGAAATTTCTTCCTTAGACTGTATTTATCATTGTTGAACTCAAGTATTTCTCCAGAGATAAGAAAATTAGGCATTTGGAAATATGTTCTTTTTCTGCCACTGTTTATATTGCAGTTAAAAGCTTTTTATCCATGCCTACTAGAACAGTGACCAACTGGCATATTCTCAAGGGAAGAGAGACATCAGACAGGGTGCTTTGGTCCGCAATTGCCACTTCTTTTACACGGCAGTAAATACACATCAGGCTTCTCAGAAAACACATGAATACTAAGCACTATTTTTTTTCATGCTTTGTAATTTATTCATAACCAGGTTGTCTTCACTTATTTGTTTGGCTCTTTCTGACTGACTTCTGGAGAAATGCCATTTTTCATTTCACTTGCTTGGATAAGCTTTGAACCAAGTTCTTGTCCATGTTACTAAATATTTAGACCATTCTGAAACTTCTATGGCAAAGTGCAAGAAATGTTTTTAGACAAAGTCCTTTCAGTTCCAAATTGTCTTGGATGGAGGCCAGATACATACATTTTCTTCTGAGGTATATCTTCGGTGGATTCTCCAGAGCTTGAGAGTCCTTCTTTTTAAAGATTTATAATCCCTAATAAAAGATTCAGTCACTTTAAGACACTGCCCAGCCATTCTCTGGTGCTTTGAAGCAAATTAGGCATTTAAGATTGCATATGTGCAATATAACATAATCTAAAGCCTGGGAAAATCTGCATTGTAGTGAAAGCATTGAAGGAGATACTTAAGGGCTCAAAGAAAGGAAAGATACCATCAAGAACACAAGTTCTATTATGCAGTTCATACTAAAGGAAGGTCTGTTTATAGCTCTATACAGCATTCTAGAAGTATGTTCCCATTACAGATTCAGGAAGCTAACACTACAAACAACAAAAAAAGAAGTTACAGCTTACCTGCCTGAGCATCTACAAGAAAGGGTATCATAAACAGAAATTTCCTCTGTTCCTGAAATTAATGGGTTTTCTATTCATTTGATGGATTTTTCAAACAAAAATGTCCCTGTTCTGTTTCTTTCTCTGCCTTGTTCTTTTCATTCTACTTCTTATTCACATAACATAAAACTATCGCATGAAACAGTCACACAGATTTCTGTATTTAGCTGGAACAAGTATAAAGTGATCACAGTTTATTTGTTTAGCTCACCACTACTGATGGGATTCTTTGATTTTCTGGGTTTTTGTACTCTTCACTAGCAATATTACTTACTGCTTTATACAGGTTGCAAACTCCCAATTAAATGGTTGCATATCGTTAATCATGTATACACAGGTCTATCTTGTCAGCACATGCCAAGCAGTGTGTTTGAATGGGTGTGATGCCACCAATGACTTCAAGGTGATGCATACCATGATGCATATGAATCAAAACACAGAACGTAACCCAAAGGATTGTGGAGAGGCAGCAGGCCAGTTCAGCTTGGACTTTGCTTTCCATTATAAACCTGACTCTGACTGCCATCCAAAATCTTCAAAGAACATCCTCTGTGCTTCAAACTTTTCATGCTTGGCCATTTGGGAATATCTTCTACAGATGACCAGAAATATCTATCAGATTCCAGGAAACTTTGAAAAGATGCCAAAAGGCTGCTTAAAAAGCAGTGACTTTCCTGCCTCTTTTTTCCCTTCTGAAGGTAGCCTTAAAACACATTCTCACTATTAATGACATTTTTTCACAATTATTTTTTTTTCCTGGACTAAAGGGGAAAAATTCAATCTTTTCTTTCTGCCAGCAACCATGTCACTGGTGATGGTCTTTGCCAGTGACCAATCATATCAGTCTGCCTGATTCAACTGCTGTATTAACTTTCGCTAAGATGGACACCACCACAGTGGCAAGAAAAAAACTCAGGCAATCCCTCCTACACATTCCATTCAACCAAGCCCTATTTGGGAGATGTTTTTTGGAAAGCATCCCCAGTTGATGGAGCATTTTGAAGAGAGATTATGACTCCTCTCTTTCTGATTATGTTACTGGATCTAGAGCACTGGGTCCACTGTGTAGACTGGAAGTACTCAAGGGGGAGAACTGTTCACCCTTTGTACAGGAGTGACTATAAATCTCTGGACAAATGAGTTAATTTAACGTGTTTCAATGGTCTCCTCTTCAAAGCTATTTGAATACAGATTTGGCCACCATTTCTAACAGAAATGGCAGGATCAGCTTAAAGATCTTGAGAATGGTTCTGGTGATAGCACTTCTCTGATAAAAGAAATAAAAGTTTATCAGCAGAAGGGAGATTTTGCTAGATATCAGCAAAACACAATAGCCAAGAAATCTTAGTCTTCCCACTTATTCTTGTAATACTGCATCAAACTGTCAGAGACAACTTCAATTAAGAGTATGCCCAGCACAACTCAGAAGAGCTGAGCTGCAATGATCACATAGGAATGGCTCCATTGTTTGAAGACCATCCAGAACAGACTGTCTCAGGCTCTACCCCCTTTTTGTATTATTCACCTTCTTAAACAACCTTACATGAATGTTGAGAAACAGGAAGGCATGCCAGTTGTCCTTCCAAGACAATTTTAATGTTCTTATGCCTAGATGAAATATCACAAAGGACAGTCTCTTATATTAGAGTATTATTTTAATTGTACTTAGACAACAACTCAGCAGGACATGACTGACAACTTGGTGGGATTAAACATATACAAGGGCAAGTTCAGACTACAATGGATTCTTGCTAACATGCTTGTGTTTTGGGGAAAGCCACCAGAGTGCTGAAGTCCACCGTAAACACTGCCCTACAGGGCATTCGTGAGGGAATACATGCTTTCAGGAAATTTTATCTGGGGAGCACTTAAAACAATCAGCAGTGTTAGGAAGATTTGTTTTCATCTACCCTTTTCTAAACCAGAAGCTGATTACCCAGAAGCTAACTATCTGCTGTCTCATACAGCAGTAAAAGGTATGTTATGAGATGGGAACATTCATGAATATAAATTCCAAGTAAAGTTGGAAGCTGTAAGAGTTACTTCCACACTAGAGAACTTTACAAAAAGGAAGCACTGTATTTTCCAAGTGTTTAAGATTCAGTTCTTACCGGCAGTGAATGAAGTCAGGAACAGGATTATGCTGGCTAAAAGATGCTGCATCAAGATTCATGCAAATTTCCACATTGTCTCCAGCCATGATTCGTACTGCAGCTTTATTTTCATCCTCAAATGTCTGCCTTTGTAAGGATGCACACAGCAGCAACATGAAATCATCTAGGAGAAAGCAGTGGTTGCAAGGAAAAATTCAGTCATTAACTTAGGTGTAGGGAGTGGTGGTGATATGCTATAATTTAGTTACCACATTGTTTTCCCACACTTTGAACCCCCAAGACTGTGCTGTTGTCAACACATTTAACACTGATTTGAAATTTATTAATGTACTTAGGTTTTTTACCTATGATTTTTATTGAGAAATAAATTAGAAAAGGGGAACTAATGCATACTCTTTGATGCTGCTTCATTAAAAATGGGATATGGAAAGAACAGATGCAGAAATTGCTAATTCTTTGAATTTTCCTACTATGTATAAAGCCACACTTAGTATTCAGTCTCCCACAGAATATGTCAGCTTGATACTGAAAAGTAAATAAAAGGCTGGCTTCAAATTACACTGTACAGATGTTTTAAGCAAAGGTCATGTAAACACTTCACAACTATGTGCTAAAATACTTACAGACAAGGAAGACAGGGTTTGGTCTCACAATGAAGTCTGGAAAGTATAACCACTTTATGATGTTGGAGTTGAAGTTGGCATTACCACTTCTCCATGGATAATCTGCATGACAGAAGCACGCAAAAATGCAATCAGTACTTTATAACAATTACTTCATCCTTTTCTTCTGAATACTTATTAATTTTCCAATACTTTTCTGTAAAAGCAAGCAACAGTAATTGTCCATAAAGGGTAAGTGTCCTTACCTTTACAAGGAGCAGGTGGGATGCCAATGCAAAGGAAGTACTGGAATGTAATGATGCATGCCAGAAAACAGCAGTATTTTGGCCAGATCTCTGCAATAGCTTTTCTTCTGCGTCGATACAATACAGCAATCAGCCAGAAGGCATGAATCATGGCATAAAAATCCATTCGTTGACCAATTACATTCACTGATAGAAGAAAACAGGTCTGGGAAAGAAGTAAAGAAACATAAGCAACATTTGCATCCTGATGGCTAGTCAAGGCAGCAATGATAAACTGTTCTGGATTCTGACAGAATGCTTGGACACGTGCTGGGGCTGACTGCAGGAACTCTGTGCAAACCAATACGCTAAAACACTTTGTATCTCTCCAACAGCAACCCCCACCCCCACCCCAACACCCCAAATTTTCAATACTCTTCTGTCAGTGTCAACTACACGAATACAGCACTAAAGCAGGTTTCCATTATGTGATATCTAAAGGTACAGAATGGAAAGAGCATTGTCACAGTAGCCTATATGTGAAATGTTTAATTGTTGCCAAGCAAAGCACATATTACACAGCCATATATTTTGATAGCACTTACAGATGTGAAAAAGAAGAGGAACTATTAAGAATAACAACAACTAAAGCGTATCCTCATGTGGGAGCCAGACAAAAAGAAAAGGGATTTAGACCATACAACTTCTATTGGCTATAGACAAATCCAGTCAATTGCTGTAAGGCAGGTTTAGTTCTCCATTCTTCTAAAGGCTCTGCATCCCAGAGCATTTCTGTTCTCTGGCTCCACTTAAAGTAGTCCCTTCACTCAGTGCCATGAAGCATGTTTTCAAACTTAGTGAATAACTCATAGTGAATCATTAATTCAGTGTACTTCACTATTTTGATTTTCTCTCTCCTCAGATTAGGATGAGGTTAAATTTTCCCGAAGGAAATAGCTTGCTGATTAATTATAATTTTCACTCATTCTTAATCCTCAGAGTGGCTGTGAACAGTTTACTCTGTTTATCAGTAGCAAGGGGTGGTAGAGTTTAATAGACAGGTCAAGAGCCTCATTATGATTAGATTTGGGATGCATTAGCCTAGGAGTTGCCTTCTGCAGATAGCCATAGAAATTTGGGAAAAATCACTACTTATACAAATAGTGTTTTGTTTTTTTTTCCCCCAGCACTTTGTTTTTTGCAGCACTTGTTCAGCAATAGCTTGTCTTCAAGGCAGGTTCAGTTCTGATGTTTTGCTGCTGGATTGGGTGAAGCAGATAGAAGGAACACATTAGCTGAGCCTACACCCCAGCAGTCTGGGCCACTGCTGCTGGCAAACAAAGAAGCAGATCTTCTACTAAGACACCTACCGATATATCACGGGTCTTCAGAAAAAAACCTTTACTCCTTTGTACCTGCCTCTCTTAATGCTCTGTGTGTTTCTTGTCTACTGAAAAGTTCTTTGGAGAAAGGGCTTTGTCTTGCACTAGTAGCACAAAGCAGCAATAACTTTTGCTGGAGCTCTTGCTCCTGCAGATTGCTAACAGCTATAGTAACGTGTAAAAAAGAAGGATGCATTTGTGCAGCCAGAGGCAAAAGCAGCTTAGAAATGTTTAGAGACAATGGCCTGCTAGCCCCTGCTTTCTTCTTCTGCTCCTGCAGTCCCTGGTTCCCTCTGTGTGTGTGTGCATGAGAGGGTATGCCTCAATTCTGTCCCTTGTCCCATCTGTTACTGCTTTTGTTGAGTTATAAGAAAGACATGCAGAGAAAAGCAAGAAAACCACTACTAGTAGATAGACAGCAATGGTGGCAAGGTCTACCATGGATGATAACTAAGAAGTATCCAGCTGTCAAACATAGTTCAAGCTCATATTCAAAAATAATACAATCAAAGGTTTGGAATGATAGTCTAAAGAAAATTAACATATAATGATTTACCTCCAAGCCAAACTTGTAGAAGAAATAGTTTATGAAATACTTGACACAGTTTACCAGTCCATCATCCAGATGTGCTCTTGTAATATCATGGAAAATCGTTTTAGTCACAGGTGCAGTAAGGTTATTTCGACATCTGTAGTACTCTTGATGACGGTAGATTGTAACTTCAAAAGCCAGAATAGCCAGCATCAGTAAGTTATTCTATGGGAGACACAATCAGAAGAATATTAAATAAAAATCAAAACCACAAGAAGCTATAGAATTTTCTGATAAGCATAAAGCCATGAATACTCAAATGGATGTTACCATTGAGCGCTTCCACACTCCAGGACACACTGGCACCTATTCCCAGCTACTATCATTGAAACAAAGTAAGGTTCCTATCACTTCTTGGATTTTGATGAAACATACTGACATGCAGAAGATATGCTTAAAGACATTCATTAAAAAATACTATAATGAACATTAGTTGTGGAAAAGAAGCGGAGGGAAAATGCCTTGACCTGTCCATGTGCCCTCTCCTGTTTCATAGCTTCTCTTAAGACATCATGCTTTGCTTTGCAGGAGACAGAGGATACAAGAACACACAAAGCCATCTGCAGGGGTTCAGCTGGCAAGCACTAACTTCCTAAAACTGCAAGGATGCTGCGTAGTACAAATATATCCTGGATACTCTTTCAAATGAACAGTCTATCTGCCAGTCTACACTCAGGCACAGCTCCTTCTGTCCCAAAGCCAAATTGACTGTGATGCAGTCTTGAGTGGCCCTAAAGAGAGGTTTTTTCTCTCAGGAGGGAGATCTGCCCTGTTCTCAATGGAAGAGAGGTATTAAACAACTCCAAAAGTTGGTTAAAAAGACCAGCTCATAGAAAGTCCCTCAAGGAAGCCTTAACTGAAGCTGAAGATGCAAACTCTAGATACTGAGCAATATTTGGGACAAGAATGTCCTGAGACAGATCCCATTGGTTTTTTGTTTGTTTGGATTTGGGTTTTTTTGGACAAAAAGTTATTTTTGCTTGTTGTCCCTGGGCTTCCTATTGTTGTTGTAGAGAGTTTTACATAATCCATCATAGATAAGCTCCTCACTTCAACACTGCAGACATTTTGAATGTCTATTATTAAAGGGGCATAACAAAAACACACAAAGAGTTGAAGCTTAAGACCTTCAGGTCTAGCACTAAACTGAACTCCTTTATGTAGAGGAGACATTTTATTTGCTAACCCAATGAAATCCCTTCTAGAATAATTCCTACTCCCGAAGTATTATCTATTTATAGCTGTAACGCTCTTAGCATCAAGCCAGACACCACTAGGCAACTTCACTCTCCATGCAGAATTCCTGGGTCAGTAATTGCTCTTCCCCACATATATTCTTAACTGTGGGAGGTGCATGGCTAAGGGAGTGAGAGGCAGAGGCACTAGAAGGCCTGACATGTTGACCACCAGAGCTTGGCAGGTCTTCCCTGTACAAACAAAGAACACAGAGGTAAGCTCTCAGGGAAGAAATGAGGAAAAAATCTAGTTAGATGAAAACTTGCTGTTGTTCAGTCAACAAATTTCTGACAACCTTTAACTGTGTATGCAAAATTTTGGAGATACTTTAAATTAAGAAGAGACATGCAAGGTTTTCCCTGGGAGTTGGCACATTTTTATTGTAAGAAGGGGTTTTTACTTATTCAAGACAGAAATAATAAAATATTGTTAACAGGCATCAACCAAAAAAGCGAAGAAAAAGAAAAGACATCCATTTACTACTGTCTGAATGAATTATTCCCATAACTCATTATATTTTCTAAACTGTGGCTAAGGAACAAGCACTTAAAAAACCTAACTGATTATAGCATATACTGTCATTCAAGGCAATTACTCCAATTAGGCCCATCAGTCCTTTGGTACCTGAAAGCTATGTACCTTCTAATTACTTGGAGTTCTTAAATATCATATTTCTCAGAGTGCTTTTAACAGATGGTAGAGTCAGAAAGCCATACTTCTACGTGCAGATTATTTTAATTGGTACTGAATCCCTTCTGGAAATGTCCTGTGTAACAGATATGGCTTTCTGCCCTCTCTTCCCCTCTGTACTTCCCTATTATCAATGGCTTGCCTTACATTTTTTTCTGTGGCAGATGATTTATTTCAAAGACATTGCTAATTTCATCACAAAAAGAAAATATCTCAGTACAGATAATTAACAAGTTACCCTTAAGTACACAAGCAGGGGATAAGACTTCCTCAATCCAACCCACTCTGCAGGATCAACTGGCCCACTGTAGAGGACTGAGGTTTTGAGTTCTTCTAAATTGACCTTAGTTTCATTCTCTCCTGGCTAAAAAGAAAATGCAACAGTTTATAAAAAATTACTTTAAGGATGCTTGGGAAGGGAATGATAATCAACAATAATACATCAGGTAAACTGTAGTTTTCAGTACGTGATATTCTTCCTTTTGCTCTTCTTCATTGAAGAAGGCAGCAGTCAAACCTTTTTAATATGCACTTGTACTCACCAATGTACAGTTACTGGAAAAAGTGCTGGGATCAATAGATGTGAGCTGGTACAACATTTTGCAGACAATAATCACACATGTCCAAACAGTGCAGATACTTGATGCCAATGGGCGAAACTGAGCATATGGCAAAGCAAGAGCCCAGGCAATTAAAAACACAAAGTTAAACAGAGACACCTGAAAACACAAAAATAGGATGGAAATTACATGGAGTAACAAGAGAACTGAGAAAGTCTGACCTTTTACACAGTAATTAAAAAAATAATTCAAAAGAAAGGGACATAGAGCAACTGTGAGAAAAGTACTAAAAGAAAACCCATTTACAACAACATTCACGGTAACATGGACACAAAGTGGTAAGTGAAGAAGGGAAAACTTAATAGTCAGTTTAGGAAGAACATTATCTCCTACATAATATTAACACTATTAGACCCACAAAACTGCATACCCACCCTACAAACAACAGACGTGAAATACGAGGGACCACATGTTGGTTCTGCTGCTTTAGTACACATGCAACAAAGAAGAGATGATACAGACCCGTGTGTCTGTGGAACCCACCTTCATCCTCTTGACCTTTTTTCCCCCAAAGATGTGAGAAAAAGGATTTTTTATTTTGCTTTTTAGTGAATCTTGTCCTACTACCCTGTTCAAGGAATAGCTATGTCAGGTAAAGAACTCACACTGTCTACACCAAAGGTACAGCTAAAGATGTTGCTCCCTTTTTCTTCAGGTGTAGTTCCACATTCCTGTTTCTTCAGCACCAGACCCAATTTAAGTAATTTTCCTAGATGTTCCTTCCCAATCCTCTTCTACACCCTCCATACCTGGATGATGCCCACAGCCTGCTTGAGCAGGGGAAGGATTACGTCTCTTCAGTCCAAAGAATTAGACTAACAAAATCTTAGTATCTGGAGAAAAGGGGAGGGTTGAGAATATCTAGGCAGACAGAATATCTCTGTTGAAGAATATGTCAAGTCAGGTCCCCAGAACCTGAAAAGCCCAGCTGGATCCCACAATTTCAGTGAGGTCTGACATGAGGAAGGTATCTCCCTAAGCTTGGGTGTGCCACTGTGCAGCAGATGCCAAAAAGCCTCCACCATGGGTAAGATTTTGATAGTGGGTGTTTACTTGCCTCTTTCACTGTGACCCAGATGATGTAAGAGGAAACAATTTTGATGATGTGCAGCTCCAACAGCCACCACACAAAGACTTGCATCTTATGAAAATACTCCAGGAATTTCAAAAACAGCACTGTAAGGCGGTCAATCACCAGATGCCACTTGTTCCTCAAGTCTGCAGAGATGTTCAAGCAAAACCATTGGGAGGAGAAAAACAGAAGGTGTCTGTAAAAATGAATGCTCCACTAGACAGCAATGAGCTTTCTACTTCTTTTCTTCTAGTCCTTAAAGTAAGACATGAAGGAGGTTAAAGATATGGCTCAGTGGTTAACTGAGACAAAATGGGGTTGAGGCTCACTCAGCTGTGGTGTTCTCCCTTCTGACTCACTTTCACTGAAAGGATTCCCTACTTCAGAAGTGGTGGTGATGGCTTCCCTTGCCAATTCTGTGTTTATTCGTCTCTAGCAGAGCCCTTCTTGGGCTCCATTTTCCTCTACTGTGTTTGGACCTAAGCTTAGGGTCTAAGGAACTAGATCTGAGATGCTCCAGCCATGGCCCTTATCCAGCTCAGAAAGAACCAGATTTTGTTTGATGTTTGGAAGCTATGGACTGAGTCTGTTTTCAGAAAGCACAGACTACTACTATTCAGAAAGCTTTTCAGCCAGCCTGAAGAGACCCTTGCACACTTGGAGTAAGATTCTTGTCGTAGGGGATTAGACAGCTATACTATAGACATCTTCATATGTCAGAGTCATCTAAACTGCCCTGCAAACAGCACACCCCCCTAGAGTGTGATTTGTGCCATCCAAGGACTGGCATCTAAAACAGGCAAGGCAAACTGCAGTCCAGTTGAATATTTCTCTCAGTTGAAAAGGGAGCTTTAGCAAGTTAAGATCCTGAAGCTGGTTGAACATATCCCTTCACAGACATTATTTTGCTAAAAAGGCCATCCTCCCAAATAATATCCCAATGAGCAAGCATGTGGCAACGTCTATTACATATGAGTATATATGACAACACGTATGCTGAACAGTGCTCTAAGTGCCATCTTTGTTTGTGGGCTGGCTCTAAAACTGTTTCACCAGGCTCATATATATTTATATAAAGTCTTCACACTGTATTAGGGGTTTCAGAAGCATTTTAGAGATCAGGAAGGATTTTGAATGCTGTGAGAACATTCTTACAGTTAACCTCAGAGATGGAAACATTTGCAAGTGACACCAAAACACACCACTGGCCAAGCTGTAAAAATGCAAGGGAGTTACCAGCTTCTGTATGTAATTATTTCAACTTATCTGGTTATTTTATATATAAAGGAAATCAAGATGGTTATTCTGTGCATATTTGTGTGAAGAACACATGCACACTTGTGTGAAAAAGCAGACTTTTGGAATACCTGACAATCAAATTCTATTTTTTTTCTCTTCTGCCCTTTTTCTCCAACCACAACTTAGAAAATCCTAATAAAAAATGCTGAGTGATGTAAATTCCATGAGTACATAATTAAACTTAACATTTTTCAAATTAATCAAGCTATAGAACTCTAATCCTACATGTGTGCTTTTATAAGTGCAATGAGTGGATTAAGGAAAGTCTTTATTTATAAATTAGATGTTCTCACTCATTCTTTCATTGCATTTATTTTCATTTCCAGTGTTGCCACCATGCAAGGTATATCCAGACAGTGCCAGTTAAGTGGAGCAAGCAGATAAGGTATTGTACCAAGCTCTGTTTAGCATGCCCAGGCACTACATGCACAGTGGATAATATATAAGCCTGACCACACCCATTGAAAAATTGTACATCACTATGTAATAAAGTTTGCACACGTGCATGTGTTAAAATAATGTTAAAACTCCAGCCACATGGCTAAATAAAAATGATAGAACTCTTTGGTAGAAATAAATGCATGTACAGCTTGAAGATGGATCACACATGGCAAGCAGCACCTTGTGCTATTGCCAGGCTTCGCTCCCTGCGGTGCAGAGAGGCCCCAGGGAGAAGGCTGCAGCTCCCCACTTCCCTGCTTGCATGTGTTGCTGCACAGGGTAACCTCCAGCAGCTGGCCTCTGTCTCCAAGCCCTTCCAGCATGTAGAGATGGCCAGAGTGCAACAAACTCATCACTTGTCACAGACCTCATGAGAGCTGGCCAAGAAAGGTTTCCATGGCTTATGAACACCTCTGTGAGGGAAGACGTCCCAGCCAGGAAAGGTAAATAGTTTCAGCTCAGCTTCCCTGGGGCAGCTAAGCCAGATGCACTGCCATTTTGCTTTGACAGAGATCCTGTCTCTATTTATGTGTCACAGTGAATATTGTCATGAACAACTAAGCCCGTGGTAAAGCCAAACAATACAACTTCCTTGGGTGTTAAAAACCCTCCCCTGGATTTCACTCATGGCTCATATTACAAACTGAATTATGGAAATAATTCATGTTAGGAGTTCATCCTAGCAATATCAAGCATGACAACATCAGCCTTACCCATGTCTGCCCTTAAGTATTTTTATGTTCATCTGGCATCAATTACACATTCCATATTCAGAAGTGAAACATATGACACTAATGTGCACATAAATAATGAAGCAAAGCCATTGGGACTTCTGGAGTGGAGTGCCTTGAAAGCATGCAGTATCAGAGATTAAATATGTATGTGTATTTTCTTTATTATAAGGAGGTTTCACTCTAAAGGACTTAGGATTTGGGGTAACCTCCTATTAATCCAACCCAGACCACCCAGAAGAGTTCCCTCCTGAAGAAAGAGGTGGTGGGTGGTGGTTTTTTTTTTGTTTTCATCCTCTCAGCATCCTACAGAAACAGTATGATTTTTCCCTAGAAGAGACTGTAGCCTGTTGAATAATTGACAAGTAGCTATCTGCTCATTTCAGTTTTTTTGGCAAAGACTGTAGGTAAAATTAGAAGGAAAACCTGATCACTGAAGCGAGCAGGGATGACCAAGAAGGAACCATCTGTTGCCACTGTTAACTAAGGCTGAGGAAGGCAAAATTTTCAATCTGCAGAGCTTACCTGTAGTTTCTTCTTCCTCTGATTCATTGTCTTCATCATCATCATCTTCCTTGTCCTCATCTTCCTTTTCTTCTTCTTTTCCTTTTTTGACCCTCCCTTTCCCTCCCTCCCCCTCTGGCTCTTCCATTCTTTTCTCACCAGCCTCTTCCAGCATTTTATCTTCTTCCTTTTGTCTGCTGGCTGTTAAATTCATCATAGTTATGTCAGGCAGGCTTCCATCTTGGTGCACCAGTCTGTTGGTAAATAGTAGCATGTCAGCAAACTGAGCAGCAATGATATTGTAGTCTTTTTCTTTTTCAAGATGTATAATTAGAAAAAATAAACTGGTCATGGAAAATGCCTTAGAAGTGGAAAAGTTAATGATTCTGGTACTTTCTCCAAACACACACTGCAAATTGAGTTGGAATGTATTAGTAACTACTTCTCAATCAGATACTAATAGTTAGTTAGTAATGAGTGGTATTGACACTTAAACTTGACATTTTCCCTACTGGAGAAAATGGTCAGAGTTTAAGATGTAGAAGCATGAAATGATGTTGTTTAAGAGGAAACATTTCATGACTTCACAGGGGACTTACTCATTTTGGTGGTTTGGTATTTTTTTCTTGAGGCTGCTCAAAGTAATTGGAACAGAAAGAAAAAGGGAGATGAGAACAGAGGGGTTACAGAAGAAGGTCATCGACAAAGACGTCATGCTACATCACAAGTCATAAAGCATTCTCCTACTCCATCTGCAGAAGCCTTCTGATGCCAAGAGCATGCCATCATGACATTCACAGGGTGCTTCTATAAAGAAACATGGAATTGCAGCACAGATGGAAAGGGGCAACCTATTTACACCAGTGCTAAACATGGTCAATGCTATACCATGCTGTCAGTAATGCAGCTGAATCACCACAAGTATCTGACTGATTACTGTAAATGCATTTCCACCTTCTTCCAACTGAAAGGTGCAGCTGGGAAGCCAAGGAATTTGCAAGTTTTCTTCCAGCTATAGGTTTGGGAACAAACGAAAGGAAAAATTCCATGGCTGTGGCTTTGCTATATTTTATCATGTCTGTCTTTGATAGTGCCATTCATGCTCTCTCTCTTTTCCACATCTCACAGAGATTCTTCTTAAATTTCTAACTGTCTCTTACTAAATCTATTAGCAATTTTCAGACTACTAAAACTGATTTAACATGGAAATGGTATTTCTCTATTGCCATGGTGCCAAATTTTTTGAGATTTATTCAGTATATATTTTTTCTTTATTGAGAAAAGAGACATTCTCTTACGGCTTCAGATATTTTCTTTTTTTTTTCCCCAGATGTGCTGTTGGGACTCACCTTCCATATTTGCAGAAACCCCACTTTTCCTAATTCCCGGATCCTATGTGCTTTGCCAAGCACAGTGCTTACTGCCATAAATAATCCCTTTGAATACAAGTTCTTGCAATAAAGCCTCCCTTTGGCAAGTGCATATCTATATGATCAGGTCACTAAATGTTTAGTTATGCTATTGAAATTACTACAGTCAGCATACTTTCAAACACCTGTTAGACTGTTGCTGGACTAATGCAAGTAATTCTAATATGCTCCAGTACCATCTCAGGGATTTATTTTTCATGATGTGAAATTCTGGCATATTACCATTTAGAAAGGAAATTTTGCCAATTTTAACTAGGATTTTTACAGTTCAAGACACTAAATCTAGATTTCACCATCTGATCATTAAAAAGAGCATAAGCTAAGCAGTTAATGAGAAAGTCAAACAAGCAGAATTATTTTTCAAATATTTGGGAGTTGCAGTTTGTTCAAGATGGAAACTTTGTTGGCTCAAATCAGGGAAAAACTACAGAAATTTGACTAAACAATCCTGAAGTAGAAATACCATACCAATTACCAAAAAGCAGAAAAGGTGATTTAAAAGCAGTTTAACAAGACAGTCAAGCACCAAATAATCTCACTGAATAAATACATTCATGACAATGATTACTAAAATCCCTCATCATGGATTGGGTGATGAACTTGAGTGTCCAATAACCTGAAAATCTCTTATACTCGACAGTATATTCAGTAGCTTCAGCTACTGAAAATAGGGCTTTGTCCGATATGCTTTATTTTCATATTTAAGATAGCGTATATACTGAAAGGATATTCAAATCTCTGTAAAATGACTAAACAATAATATTCCCTAAAATGACATAGTCTAACTTTGCATATCTACCTAAAACTCTAATAAAGCACCAACAGGAGGGTCATGTATAAAGAAGAGAGAGTGAATTTTCAGTTCAGTTCAAATGTTATGGAGATCCCTGGTTACTATAAATTATCATATGCCATTTAAAAGGCAATGCCCCATGAAATGAAATCATCCATACAATCAGGCAGGTTTTGCACAGGTGTAATTGTATTGATTTTAATGAAGTATCTCCCCAGCTGACTTTTATAATAGAAAAATCTACATTCACACTGGTGTAAATCCAAGACTTACTGACTTACCTCAATGTAAACAGGACGGAAACACAGTAACTCTATAGGATTTTGTATGAAAGGACCCATCTTTCTCTTATTCATATAACTCCCATTCAGTATCCAGGAGATCCAGAAGGTGATGGGGTTATAAAGATGGGTACATTTATATACTTGATAAAGCCTCAGTATGAGCTTTGTTTTCAGTGTGTTGGCGCTTAGTTGTATTGACATCAGTAAGCTTGAGCATGGGACCGTGTGCTCAGGAGATCCAAGGCAAGATAAAAAGCCCTGTCCTCTATTCAGAAAGTTAGTCTACTTGGAATCTTTCTTCCCAGACCCCGTCATTTATTGCTAGGGTTGTTGTTCCTCTTTTTTAAATTTTTTTTTCCACTACAAGATCGTATGATACCATGTAACAGACAACACCGAGGTATTAGGATATAAAAACTGCACTAGTTTAGAATACCTAGGACAAGCTACTCATACAGTCTTTACAGCTAGTTAGATGTAACTTCAGGTTGGAAACCACATAGTGGTGGGAAATTATCCAAAATAACACAAAGGTATTGTGCCTGACACTTAGGAAGAGAAATAACTAAATAATAATGCAGACAACAAGCCTTGAAGGTACAGCCACTAATAGTTTTAACTGAGAGCATTTCTCACCCTCAGATTCTTTAACTAGGGTATCACTAATAAGAAGTATGCTAGTAGATCTAGTTTTATGCATCAAAGCAATTTCAGAGGCACTAAAATCAGGCACGTGCCCCAGGTCCTTGCTGGACTAGTACCTTCATCTATTTGTAATCTGCAAGAGCAGAAGATTTAATGGTTGGACTGGATGATCTTAAACGTCTTTTCCAACCTAAACAATTCTATGATTCTATGATTAATTAAAAACAACTTACTGGATGCATTATGAAGCATCTTTTGCCTTTGATAATTTTTTTGCAATCAGTTTATGAATTGCTTGAAACTTTCTGTCCTAAAACAATTCCTCAAGTATCTGTCATGCACAGCTTTAATAACATAAAGCTTTCTGCTCTGCAGAACATCAGTGACCCATCTCCTGAATATTTGGCATGCAAGATTCAAACCTAGCATACAGTGCCATACCTCTATGGGCAGGACCCTGAGTGCCTCCCTGCCCTTGCAGGGAGTTCTGCTGCCTGCATCCAAGGCCAGCTGCCTGATATGTGTTGGGGTTTGTGCAAGCCAAGAAGCCTCAGCACAGGGGGTCCCTCTCCTTCCTTTGGGAGCTGCTTTCACACTGAAGCTCTTGTCCCTACATTGCAGCTGCATTGCAGCTGTGCCTGTATCTGCTCCCATGCCTCCCTAATCCTAAGCCTGACACACCGACTGACTCCCTGCCTTCACCTCCAACCTGGCTCATCTTTATGTATTTGCTGAGAGCTACCCAGGCTGTGGCTGACCCTTGTTACCCTCTCCAGACCTGATCCTCACCCTCAGTTCCTGGTTCCTGTTCCTGACTCCCCGTGGGAGAGGGCCCAGCCTTGCCTCCTGGCCATGCCCCTCAGCTCCTGGCTTGTCTACCCTTGCCCAGCCACCTGCCCTCGCTGCTCCCTGACACACGCACTTCCTACAGACCAGCTTTCCAGCTCTGGCGAACTTTTAAGAACCCTGACCTAAACTATGTGATGACATTTGAAGAAGGAACGTGAACATGTCACATAAATTAACTTCTTGTTAGAGCAGGTAGTCACAAATATCTAAACAAGGAATTTTCTTGTTTTTTCTGTTTATATTCAGCAGTGACAACAAACGCAGAAGTCCTTCTATTCTTGGAGCTGACTAAACAAAAGCTCAGATTTACTCCAGTCAAATATTTTGAAAGAAATCTACTTTATGGAACTGTTTTTAAGATGCTATTTATAAAGGGATGGTGATGATGGCAATATCAGCTTTTCTAGTTTGGATATTGCAGCACCCATCTCAGCCTATGAATTAACATCATTTGCATGCAGTGGTTTCAGTGTACTGCATGTTCCATTTCTGTCTCTGAATCGGGAAATCTCAGTCTCTACAAACCCATAACACATATTGCACATTTAATTGACCTGGTCCTGAAACTCCCTTTCTTAGGTGCTAGTGAGGAAGACAGGGATGTGTGTCTGTGTGTATGTGTGCACATGCAAGCATGCATCTTTCCATGCACAGACAAAGGGTAGATAAACGAGCCTCCTCAACCAAGTCTATTGTCTGCAGCCAATTACAAATAGCACCAATTATTCCTGTATCGAGGCATGGGCAAAGTTTAAGAGAAGAATTCCCAGCTGGGAGATGAACTCACAACATATACATATGCAGGAGAGATGTATTAACTGTTTCACCAGCTTTAGGAGACTACAATACCTGAACATTCTCTCCCTGCTTACTTCACAGTACTGTGCAGCAAGAACATACTTTGTTTTAAGGCAGTTAAGAAGTAACAAAAAAGTTAAGGTATATTTGTTTTAAAGGAAAGGAAGAATTGAAGTACCCACCTATTAATTATTAGATAAACACGGCCATTGACTTTGGCATGGCTATGAGGTGGGAGGTGAAAGCAGAAGAATGCATGAGATGAAAATGGGAAATAGAGAGAAAAGGAAACCATTAAATAGGAACAAATGCATTTTCTTGTCTACCAAGAGAGACTCATTGTCATAACAAAGCACAATCTGAAAGCTTAGAATACACCATGCAGTGAAAAGTTGAGGAAGCTTATAAATGCAATACTTCGACATTTAGACCGTATGCAACTTCAGCTAGAACTGCAGTTTCTTTTCATAGACCCCAAAATGTGAGAACAGCCTCTACTGCCTTATCTCAAGTAAGCCACAGAATATTCTGCATATTTTTAAGAACAGCTACTTTCTGTCCCCTCTATTTGCAGCTGGCAGAGCCTTACTCTTGAACTCAGTCTGCAAACTTTGCCTATGTGAAGCAGCATCTTAATACATGAACAGTTTCAGCAATTTTAACAGGACTTTTCAGTTAGTCACAAACATAATACCATAATCATACATTGCAGTTCAGGGGCAGATGGAGGAACTGGAGCTGCTTTCCCTGTTACTGTCATGACTAGCTCTCACCTGCTGTGGTTGTTTTAACAAGTTCAGTATTAAAAGGATTGAGTTCTGTCTGCTTACTCAAAATTAAGGTTCAGTTTCTTCATTTAAATTTTTTTCTTTGTTGCAAAAGAAGCAGCATAAAAGCAGGTTTTAAAGGTAAACGAGCTGTTAAGTGAATGCTCGTGTTTTCAAAGCAAAAGGGAAAATGAAGTTTTAGTGGCTTTGTAAGAAAATTGCACATATACATGAGTCTTTAATCTGTGTTTTAATTGTTCCTGCAACTTATTGCTATTGTTAGCATTGCTGTTAAGCTTCATGCATCATCAATACAAATGTCAGCTGAGCTCTCATCCTGAAGGTCTGAACTATAAAGTTGACATGCTCAGTACTGATTTATTGCATCAAGAGGGAAGAAAACAGCTGGATCTTCATACGTCAGACATTGTTTATCGTAATACAAACCAGAAAAAGTGTTCTGATTTGGGTAGTGGACACACTTGTGAAAGTTTCTGAGGAGGAACAAATTATATTTGTGATAACTGTGATTTTGAAATACTGCTAAATGGCAAATGTAACACATACACCACATTTAAGAGTTAAAAATATCTGGCTACTCATCTAACAGCTCAATACAATCTATTACGCATTTAGATTTAAAAAAATAACAATATAGTAGCAAAAAGCTAATGATATCACATGATCCTCTTCACCTACCACTTCAGTAAAAAGCCTGGTGCAACAACAAATGTCTGCTTTCGGCACCCTATCTCAAGGTAACTTCTTCCTGGCAGAAATGTCACTGACAACCAATAAAATCTATGTGCTACAACCTTCTTTTCTGATACTAGTCTTTTCTTTACTTTAATTCTTTTTGCTCTCAACAGGACACTGAAAACATTTTGTTTCTTTACTTTCAGTGGTTCCATCCTCCGAGGATGATGTGACTTTAGTCACAGTGATTGTCTTCATGCAGGCTTTTGGAGAGCTGTAGCTAGTATTTTGGTATCTTTCATGTATAACAGAAAGATTTGCAAGTAGTAGTTTCACAGGCAGAGAGTGCTGTACCATGAACCCACCTAAACCCTGGGAGTGCCACAGGTTGTCTTTTCCATTTTGTGTCTACTGGATCACACTAGGAGTGAGGTGGAAGCTGTTTCTGTGTTAGTCAGTGCAAGTGCAAAGTGTTTGGGCTACAAAAGAGCTTGTGCAATTACTGCAAACTGTAGTGCATTCCCCCAAATGCCTCAGCCCAGGAACAACCCATGTTTCAGCTCAGACACCTATCTGGGCTCTAGTTTCAGGGCTTGGCTGCCCACTTCAGAGATGTTAAGATGCACCTGCTGCTGCACAAGAAGTCTGCTATGTGCAAAGAAAGTTTGCTCACAGGCCATTTCAAAGGGCCCTTGAATCTACCATCAGATTTAGCAATTCAAGAAAAGCAAAAGGAAAAAGTATTTTGCAAACAGTCATTTGAAAAGGTAAGTTAAAAAAAATTGCAACATTGTTAGGAAATTTTATCAAGTTTCATTTGTTCTTGTTTTGGCAACTTATTTAAATACAGAAACCAGAAGCATTCTATAAAAGTAGAGCTTATTCACATGCACTACTGATAGGGAACACAAACACTTGTACCATACATGGTAAAGTTGCTTCATATTCAATTGAATGCATGAAAAATATCTGAAATGCTTTTGTAAATCTAGCAAGTCCTCAAGCAGAATTCTCTGTTAAGAAACTGTCGTTCCACAACACACTGTGGTGTAGGTGATGTTATGCAGCTAATCCCCATTCACAGAAGTGCAGCTGAGTTAAACTTATCATTGGACAGGTAAACACTCTAAAAATAGTGTCTAAATTAATTGGTTTCTTCAGAGAATTAGAATAAATGTCATTGCATCGCATAATATGACACTATGTACTATGAAACCATTTCTCTTTCTTATGCTTCTGGAGCATGATCCTAGGCCAGATATGTTTTTATGCAGGAGAATATGGAAGAGTTAAACACAGGAAAAGTGAGGTCCCAGAATCATGAAAAAAATGCTAATGAACTTCTTGATGAGATTGCTGAATACCCGAAAGAGCTAGCATAGCCAAGGGTCAGTACTTTAAAGGGTGACCACAGGTTTGGGATTTTTCCATTTCTGAAGTTCAACTTTACAAAAAGACCTAACTGTCCAATGCAAATGTGATATTTCCAATCTTCCTTTGGCCCTCAAAATTGACATTGAAAAACAGAAGTGACACAAATTAAAAGCCATATTTCCTATTATTGACAGGACTTACGAAAAGGCACACATAGCAATTAATCATCTAACTCCCATTAAAGGTCAAAGCCAATGAGATAAATGCAGAAATACCATTAGTACCTTTGAAAATGTACCCAAAATGAAAAACTTCAGTGTGTAGGGGAAAGTGGGGGAAACCAGATACTTTGGTTGTCGCTTATTTAGCGGGGTGCTGGACACTGAGCACCTTCTTTTTAAGCCAGATAGTCACAGCAAAGGCAAAAAACATCTAATGAAAAGTGATCATTACAAGACAGTCAGAAACAACATTTTTATACAGATAATAGCACCATTTACTCTGCTGCTTTACCTGTAAATAGTGTTGTCCTGTTTGCTGGTTACAGCTTTTAAATCAGTGAGCTGGAGAAAACGGTCATGGAAATAGTGAAGGTGTAAGATACACGCCAGTAGGAAGGAGGTGGGGATAAAGATGCGTGTGAATAGCTCAGCCACAGAAAACTGTTTTAAGCCAAGGTCCGCTAGTCTGGAAAAAAAAGTAAGCCACTAAGCCATCTTTTCACATCAAAATCTTTTTCTTGCCATGAGACATTATTATAAATCATTTGCAAAAGGAAATAAAGAGCTGGCACTCCTTATGTGTTTTTAGTTTTTAAAATTCTTCTAAACCAGCAAGTTTTACAATGCAAATATCTTGTATTTGGACTCAGTAACGTAGAGAGATACTTATAAACATACAGAGTCAAATGCAGAACCCTGCCATAGATCTCTTGAACAAGATGAGTTGGCTGTGATTGAAAGTCCTGCACTGGAGATCTACTCATATTGCATATACTTTCTCATGTAAGCTCTTGTTGAGAAATGCCCAACACATCATGAGGAGGAAGACACACAGCCCTCATTAACAGGAAGGCATGTCCACTTTCCTCAGCTCCAGACATCCTGCAAATCTACCCTTAATATCTTCCCAGATCTTGCTCCTATGGTCAGAGGTAGAGAGGAGTATTGGCACTGTATTGGGAAGAGGAGAGATGCCAAGGCCTTGGCAGCAGGTGAAATATGACTCTTTGAGCCCCTCTCATGCCCTTGCTCATCGCTATTGTTACACCAATAAATCTATGGCTTCAGAGCTGTGCCAAGTCAGCTATGCCTGGGGATGGTCTCATGATGTTCTTCCCACACAAGAAGGAAGACTGCTCTCAGATCATTCCACTACACTGAACTCAAAAGTCCAAAGAAAAAATGAAATTAATCAAAAACACTTACTTGTTTTCATCCAGGCCTGTCATGTTCTTCCACAAGCCAGGGAATGACTCAAACTGGTATGTATAGATGAAAATAAGTACTAACATCGTGTAAACAACCACTGACATCCAAAAGTATTTTAAAATCCTTCTCCACCATTCATAGTGCACCTGCAAATCACACACTAAAGATGTTGAAACAAGCTGAAGGCAAAGACACTGACAAAAGTACTGACAACACTGCACTGGCAAACAAAGACTAAGAATACTATTTTTCCTAGCTGGCCTGAAGTAAACAACGCTTAGCCAACAGCAGCTACAGTTCATTGAGAAACAGTTTTTATTCCTGATGCACATGCACCCAAGTGCTAACTTTTGTGTAAAAAGGTCTGTTGGGACATGGCCACAAACATAAAGGGGCCAGGGTCACTCAGTTTCATCACCATTAGGTGATGAAAGTCCAAGGGGAGAGGGACTCCATGGTCATTGATGTGTGGAAGATGTGTGGACCAGCTGCCACAAAAACTGGTGGCTATGTAGGATGTGCACAGGCCCAGAATTGTCCCACACTGGTTCCAAAGCTCATGGTGATGTAGGGTGCAGTCCCAGAGCACAGGTGTGTATTGTATGCATCTAATTTATGTGCACTTTGCCTGTCATTATAATCAAAAGCCAAAGGAGAATTACTCTTAACCCCTTCAAATGATCTTATTATGTTGCATCTAACGAAAGAACAAACACATTGTTTATTAATTCTGTTTGGAGCTATTTTATTACCACATTAAATGTATGAACCATTGTATTCAAGGACAACACAAGTGTATTCAAGTTAACACAGTTCTCACCTGATAGAGGGCCACACAGAAGAGGAACAGTACCATATAGATGATTTTGTACATGACAATTCTTCCCTCAAAGCTGACAAAGAAGAACATGCCCCCACAGACGTAAATCCAGTACTTGATGAACATAGCCATCACCAGCTTCCCCAGGACTTTCATAATATCCTGTTCATCCTCATCATCCTCTTCCTCCTCCTCCTCCTCCTTCTCTTCCTCTTGTTCTTCTGCCATTTCTCCCTCTTGCAACTCCTCTTCTGCAAATACAGAGTCACATTTGGCCTCTGTCTGCTTTGGGGACTTTTAGTAAGAATTGAAATGGGTGGAAAGTAAAATCTCTGCACACAACACAGAAACTTAAAACACAATATTCACAAGAGACTCTATTTCTGAATCATGCATGCCTCCAGAGCTTGGGAAAGAGGTTTACCTT